ATTGAATTATTAAAATATTTTATACTTAATCCTAATATATTAATCTACTCTACGGTAAAATGGCTACTTATAGCTAAGCTCAGCGAAAAAAACTTACGAATTTTATGGTAGCATTACAAATTTCAGTATCAGACATAAATACAAATAACATCAAATCTGAGCATATCAAATGTGTAATTAAAGATAAATCGATCTAAATTAAAATATTCAGTTAAGTACATAAAAAAATGTTAAGTTAAATAAAAAAAAGTTAAGTTACTATTAACAAAATTATCCGTGTGGTATCGGATTAAGAATACGGAGTGTCACCACCCCTATTCATCCCGTGGATGTCGTAAGAGCCGACTAAGGGAGCAAACTACGCAGGACAACAGCACTGCAAAGAGAAGGAAAACTTGAAACAAACCCTATACCAACCCGTCTGGCCAGCATAGTAGTAGGTCAAAACCTCATTTCTAAGGGCAGGCCTGTGGCCAGTAGTGGCCTATTATAGGCGTTGATGAAACAAAATTGAATCACGATTAATAAAAATAAATCACAATGAATGAAATTAAACTAAATTAAAAAAAAGAAATTGAAATACTGGGTCTACCAATAGGGATGACCTGGTTTTGACAGCTCATAGCGGCCATGTTTGATGATGGATCTTTGACGTCTTTTGACATTTGTGTTCAGTAAGGTTTGCCATTTTATCATGTCAAGTTTCACTTTAAACCAACGCTTGGAAATTGTCCAAAACTTCTTTGAAAGTGACGAAGGAAACCCTGTTACTGTGAATGGCGAGCGCTATAACTCGATGTTAACCGAATATTTCTTTCCGGAATTTGATGATATTGATGCAGACGGCCTTTATTTTCAACAAGACGGTGCACCACCTCACATTACTCGAGTGAACATGGAATTATTGCGTGGAAAGTTTGGTGAGTCGTTAATTTCGAGAAATGGACCGATCAGTTGGCCACCAAGATCGTGTGATTTAACACCTTTAGACTATTTTCTTTGGGGTTACGTTAAATCTAAAGTGTACAGCAATAATCCAGCTACAATTCGTGACCTAAAAACCAAGATTCGACGAGCCATAGCCGACATACAGGCCGAAATGGTGCACCGCGTCATCGAAAATTGGCGTGAGCGAGTGACCGTCTGCAAAAAGAGCCGCGGCGGTCATTTGGCCGATATATTTTTTAAAACATAAATTGCATAAAATTATCTATCAAATAAATCAATCGGATGCATTTTTCATGAAAAATTGTGTGTTTTATTCAATTTTTAAACCAGGACGTTCTTATTGGTAGACCCCATATTTTAAAAAATCAAGCACAGGTACTAGGTTGACTTGACTTTGATAGTTATAGTAGACAAGCTGGTAGATTCAGGAGTACAGTATAAAGTAAATATTCAATTTTCTATGAAAAGTTGAAGATGCAAAAAATTCAACTTGCTTGTAATTTAGCAAGAAAGTTAAATATGAAACTAGTACTTACATTTTTCGTAGATCAGCATTTCAACGAACAGTTTCCTCAGAACTTACTTCTCGGTGTTCCATTTCATTAAAACTTTTTAAGATTTGCTTGAATTAAAATAGTTTTAAAGATATGGTGTTATAAATTTCAAATTTCTAGTGAATTTTATTTGCAAATAGGAGCCTTGCAGTTGGATAATAAAGTCAAATGTGAGTTTTTGTTTGTCATATAATTTTGCAGATACGGTATGACAGGTACGGTAGGACATAGGTTAATGTTTAACGAAAAAAGTATATAAGGGAAGGGGAGGGCAGGGAAAAATAACCTTTACTTGATATTTATACTTAGCTTAATCTATACAAATAAATAAAATTGGAGTGTCTGTTTGTAATATTAAAATAACCGCTTTTTACTAAATGCATATGTATGTTTACACGGTACATATGCCAAAATAACATTTTTTACAATTTTTGTCTGTCTGTCTGTCTATCTGTTTGTTCCGGGTAATCTCTGGAATGGCTGGACCGATTTCGACGGGACTGGCAGATAGCTGATGACATAAGGAGTAACTTAGGCTACTTTTTTACACTAACTTCGCCCCGCGGCGTTGCCCGCGGTTCCCAACAAACGCGGGTCTCAGCTAGTCTATGCTAATTTTATAAAGAGGTAAAGTATGTGAGTTTGTATATTCTTTTGAAAATTATTGAAAATTCTTTCACTGTTAGAAAGGTATATTATGTAGTACTGTAGACTACTATAGACTGCTGTTTACCACGATAACCAACATACACGCGAAGCCGCGGCTCCCTCTGGACCCGAGAAGAGCGACTCGAATCATCGATACCCAAAAGATCTCCGACCGGCTCGATCCCTTGGCGCTGTATAGAGATGTAGCTTCACTCTGCAATTTCTATCGTATATATCATGGAGAGTGCTTCGAGGAATTTTTAATCATCCCATCACATTGGATAATTGGCACTCCACCACTATGCATTTTTCGAGACACTTTTTGCCTCGCACTACCAACCCGCGGTTTATCCGAACCGATATGACCCTCAAACATTCAAGGAAACCGGCAACGGCTTTTAAATCGCTTTCCATCAAGGGAGCCGTCTGCTCGTTTGCCCCTATTCCATCAAAAGTCAATAAAAAATACATAGGGTAGATATATTTATTGAAAAGTTTTTGATTTTAAATAAAGAACAAGAAGCGATTGTTATGTCTATATGTTTGTAAGTAACTTATGTGTTAACTGTATACAATAAAGATATAAATAAATAAATTTTAATCCATCAAGAACCACACTACGATATATACAATATTCAAACTTTTGCGATGAGGCAGCTCCATAGCAGGTCAGATAATTGTATCCAACACAGTTCTACAATTAGCCAACTATCAGTGCGGTCATCTCATATAAATTCGCGAAACGATGCAACGTTTACAATAGCTAACGTTAGGAGCGGGCGCCGAGCCAACACTGAAATGTTTGGTCTAAGACCTAAGTTTTAGCAGATTTTAATATTATCTTTGTTTTTAGTTTCAAAGCAATCTAAGTGAACTATAATTGTTAAAGAGAAAAGGGTGGGTATTTCCTGTTTTGTAAATAGAACAACCTTATTTTTCTATTATTATAATAATTTATCTAATACTTATCTTTCTGGTTTGAAATGGAATGGAGGATGTAGTGAATTACTGGAGCTCATAGAATTATTTTTTCAATTTTTCGATTTATAATATAAAATGTTATTGCTGAGTGTACCCCATCTTCATAAGATTGCTAATATGACCTGTGTCCTTTAATCTTCTTGATCTCTGTAAAAGGCAACTTTAGCAATTTAAAATTTATTTTGCGAGTTTGTGAATTTTCTTATATTTCAGAATTCATAGGAATACACAAATTACTTCAAAATATCTCTTGGACTCTTGTTTGGTTTGTTAGCCAAAGCTTCTAACTTGTACCACGGAACCTCATAACTTGACCGCAGCTATTGTATTCATCTGTTATTGTGTTAGTGCTGCTTATTGAATTTATTCGCCAACTGATTTAAACAGATGTGTACGCTTTAGCTGAAGTAGACAGAGAAATGGTGAATGTTGCTGTCTACTGTGAGCTGATGTTCAGACACAGACTGGTCAGTCGCCTTTTTCTTTTTTCAGTTTCAGTCACCCCCAGTTAGAGGGGATCTAAAAGTGGCTCAAAGCGGTTTGTCCAAATAAAGCGCTGAAGAGCTTTGAGCTGGACTACTTGTCTGCATGCTACCAAACGCATAAATTAGTTCTATTTGTTTTTCGTAACATGTCGATTATTTCACATTTTGCATATTTTACTTTTTTAATAAATTATAGTAATATGACTACCCCTTTTTTTATTTTCCTGTGCGGAAATCCCCTCGTATATGACCCACCGGTGGGGTGATTATGTCGGACTCGAACCGTACGTCCGGGTACCAGTAGCCCTGGTACCCCGACGTACCTCGGGCCATCCACGGCGTGTAGAAGACCTCCTGTGTGGGAACCCCCATGTTGCCTTTGTGGTCCAAAAAGGACGCGCGCGCTTGGCAAATATGACTACTTGTGTGGCGTGTGCGTGTGTGAGACTACAAATATTTATTCACAATTAATTAAGATACCAAAAACCGTTTTATCTCTTCTAATTTCGTAACATAATTATTGAAATCTATACTAATATTATAAAGCTGAAGAGTTTGTTTGTTTGTTTGTTTGTTTGTTTGTTTGAACGCGCTAATCTCAGGAACTACTGGTCCGATTTGAAAAATTCTTTCAGTGTTAGATAGCCCATTTATCGAGGAAGGCTATAGGCTATATATCATCACGCTAAGACCAATAGGAGCGGAGCACCAATGAAGAATGTTTCAAAAACGGAGAAAATTTATTACTATTGAGAGACGCAGACGAAGTTGCGCGGGTCAGCTAGTAATTAATAAATCTTAGACCAATTCATACCTTCTGATATAGTATTTATCAGCATAACTTGGTTACTGACCTCCGTAAAGTTAAGAATATGAACTCCTCATGAGGGCAATAAATCTTAGGCTAAAGGCAGATACTAAAGACAAGAAACACTGACAAGCTGTTGTCTAGTAAAGGATTGTTCTGTCGAAAATAATAATAATATTGTGAATAGGTGTGAATAATGTTGGGCTTTGTGGAAACAATGCGCGCTGACAGACATTGTTTAGCTACTGTATTTGTTATGGACCAAGGCAAGAAGTTGTCAAGGAGAGATACAATTAAATGCTGCTTTATTACATTATTCATCAGATCAGATTTCTACATAGACATGTCATTTTTACTTCTCCAAAAATGAAGGATACCTCCTTTAACCGATATTTTTTACATTTGTCGCAATATATACGAGGAAGATACCGTTGACAATAAACTTTTAGTTTAACAATACTACCATCTGAATATGTCCTCATTGGTAAAGATTCTTGTTTATTCTACAACTTTATTAGATTAACTCAATGATTTCTCGGTACTGCAAGTAATCCATTAAAATTCATTTGATTTCAGATACAGTACCAGAGCTGCACTACACTTTCATAGAGCAAGCATTACACCCAGGTCCAGCCTTAGCGCTTCATTGTGCAGCGTCTGGTTCTCCTCCACCAAGGTTCACATGGTTACTAGATGCACAGCCTGTAGAGGAGCATAATACGCCACAAAGGTACGTTTCTATTACTCTATATAAACACGCTATATAAAGAGAATCCAAGTCTAGTTCTTCAAAGCTATGGCTTTGTAACGTAAGCTCAATAATAAAAATAAAATATCGTATTTTTTTATTTACAGAACTATTACTCAGTTCATGAACTCAAATGGTGACGTAGTAAGCTATCTCAACTTGACCTCTGTACGTCCTGAAGATGGTGGAAGATACACCTGCCGAGCACACAACTCAAGAGGAGCTGTTGAACATTCCACGAGGCTCAACGTCTATGGTCAGTTGAAATTGTGACAATAAAATTAAACTTTATAACTCAGGATTCAGCTCTCAAGCCATGCTCAAATTGGTAACATAGTCAATCTTTTTCTTAGGCTTTGGCAATTTTATGACTTTGAACCTATCATAAATGTAGATCCTGATTAATCTTGAAGAATTATCCGTGTTCTAATATAAATTATTTCGTACATGATTGAGATCTCTCTTTGTCTTGTGACCTGTAGGTCAACCATCGATAAGGAGCATTGGCCCCATCCGCGTGGTGGCGGGTGTGAACACCACCATCTTCTGTCCATACTCCGGATTTCCAATCAGGTTGATGGAGGTGCATTTGCTTAGTAAAATTATAAGTTTCTTTTTTGTTTGTTTTCGTAGTTCAACGTTGGTCAAATTGTTCTGGACCTTTCCAAATTTTAAATCATTTCAAGTTATTTCAAAAGAATATTTACAACTTTACCTTACCTACCACTTTGTTGTCTTAAAATATTATATTTTTTATTAAATTTTCTAATAAATTATAATTTTATAGAACTCCTGATACATTTTTCTATCACTATTGCAGTAACTCACAAATACTGTAATTTCACAGTGAAATCCGCTGGCAACGAGGTGGCATAGATTTAAGTTCAACGGGGAGTCGAGCATTAGCTGGAGTTGGTGGAGAGTTACTATTGTGGCCAGCTGAAACTGCAGATGCTGGAGTATACTCCTGCAGAGTATCGTCACCCTCTGGACAGTATGCTCAAAAAGACGTTCAAATATTTGTTAGAAGTGAGTATTTTTGTTAATATTAATTAGACGGCTACAGTTTTAATAAAAGGCACTTTTTAAAGTATTTTATTTTCAAACACAATCGCCTGTTATTAAAAACGCATTCTCAACTTATTGTGTACATGACAACGTTCACTTGCTAGAAATAATTATAACAGTTATCTGATCATCGAACTAGTGACGAGATTTTTAAAAGATGCACGCTTCTTCTATTTATAAAAAAAACTTGTCAAAAAAGTTTTTTCACAAAACGTAACAAAAAATCAAACTTACTTTCACATTTATAATCATCACATCATCACACATCATCAGCCTATCGCAGTCCACTGCTGGACATAGGCCTCTCCCATTGCACGCCACTTAGATCGATTTTGGGCTTCTCGTATCCAGCTCTCTCTCTCTCTCTCTCTCATGTGGATGCGACATTTATAATATAAGTATGGATTTAATGATTTTCAATTTTATTGGTGACGTCTTAATACATAAAGATTCTAAGAACAGAGACTTTACGTTAAAAACTTGCCTGTTAACTCATGCTATTAATATTGTTTATGACCGTATGTTTATGTGTGTTTAAAATTTAAATAAACACTTTTTTCGGTGAAAGTTTAAACTTGTTTAATATTTTAGATCCTCCAAGAATAGCCGGCTTCACGTTTCCAACGGATTTAGTAGAAGGAAGCTCAATACAAGTTCTTTGTGGTATTACTTCCGGTGATAAACCTGTCTATTTTTCGTGGCTCAAAGATGGACAACACATATCACCTACCTTACAGGTACAAGCTATTAACCTAAGATTGCTATAATTTCTGCTAAATTCATTTTACTAAATCAAACTTCTTTCAGGTTCAAGAAAAATCCTTGGATGAATTCAGTTTTTTAATTTTTTCTCATGTAACTTCAAAACACAGTGGGGAATATACCTGTGTTGCTAGTAATTCTGCAGCTGAAGTAAACCATACTGCAAGGTTGGCAGTCAAAGGTGAAAAATTCTATTCATCAATTTAAGTTAATTTAAACACCTCTAAGAAAATATTTTTTTAACAATGTTTTAACAAATGTTTTTCAGTTGCACCGTCTTGGGTTTATGAACCACAAGATGTATCAGCTCTGTTGGGTACTCAAATATTGGTTAATTGTGCAACCAAAGGGTATCCAGAGCCAAGAGTGGCCTGGCTGAAAGGGCATGGTAGGTATTGCTCTTGTAAGATAAGACAAGTTTTTTATTATTCAAATCTTCATTATTCTTAATTATGTTAAGTTGTACTTAAAAGGGCTGTTTTTAAGTAGGTTACCCATAAGGCCTAGGTCTTAAAAAGAAATAATATTTATTTGTTTCAGGAACAGGTGTAGACTTCAGACCGGTGTCAAACCTTGATCTGCAGTTTGCAGTTTTATCAAATGGGTCTCTGAGCATAGCTCCAGCTGCCCACCATCACGAGGGACAATACATGTGTCGCGCTGAAAACGGAATCGGTCGAGGCCTGTCCAAGATTATCGCTGTATCTGTAAACGGTATGAAATAGCTTCATAGTTAAAGTCACTCATGAACTTTAAATGTTTGGCTGGTTAATTACCAAGTATAAACACCTGACTCTGTAGTTATTTTTAATGCATGAGTTTAAAATTTTGTTTCATTTCACATGTTCCAATTTACGAAATTCTGTACATTAGTATCAAAAACCCCTTTTTCCCGCGGCTACAATTTCTTAGAGATGCCTTTTACAACCTTTCTTGTAGTCTCAATAATTCTACATTCCACATGCAGCATTTTTTCATCAATAGCGACTTATCCCGTCGGCTCCGGTTTTTCCATTCGGCTGAATTCGGTCGAAGCGACATCCAACCTAAAAAGTTGCCTGGACTAAATTGTCGTAACTTTATTGTTAAATACCTAAGTTTCCTACACTTATTTAATATCGCGGGAACGTGATTTTTTTCAATTAATTTATCTATCTCATGTATCTCTTGGGAACAATTTATTCTGGATTCGTCCTTTTTTGTACCTTTGACACCCTTTGAACAAAAAGTTAGTGATCATCGATATAGTAGGTATGTGTCAGTGGCTTGTATGTACTTTCATAATTATAATATTAGTTAGAAATAAAAGGCTTCATTTCTTTACTAGAAATTGTATTTCAGAACCGGCACATTTCGAATTCTCATCGCGGAATATGACGGTCAAGAGAACCGCTCAAGCTACACTCCAATGTGACGCCCGTGGCGACCCTCCCATACAGCTGCAGTGGACGCACAACATGAAAAGAGTGGACCTCACTACTTACCGGTAATATTTGAGTTTATTAATTTACTAGGAATGTACAAAATCATCAAATACTTCTTACTACAATTTTCATGCCAGTAAAAGTAGATTAACTAGAACAATTTAGAATGTAATGTTAATACCGTTGTATGCTCTTGATCAGCAAATAAATGATTGATTGATGATGATTAGGCCTTTGGTGATTGATTGATGATGATTAGGTTATTCAGAGCAGTCATCTGCTTAGTCAATTTTTTTTGGTAGGTAGGGCGTGTCACCTACTGACTGACGCTCCTCACTTTTTTGCTTCGATGAGCGCCTCAATCGGATCGGACGTAAAGAGAGCATTGCGCAGCCGACAGGGACTCCGCTCAACATACGCTGGAGGACTGGTCCGCGTAGGCGTCTGACCACGAGATCCTGGTCGAACGAATCGAATCAGATCAATCCCAGCCAGCGATCATTACATCATAATAATAATATGTGTATAGTGTATATGAGAATAATATCGATATGGTGGAATAGAGCAATTTAATACGTATTTTGAGCAAAACTGTACCCCGAAAAAGTAAGCAGAGGCCTATTAAGCACTCAGTTTTTGCCAAATGTAACTTGTCTCGCTCACGCTATAAAAGATTTTAAGATTGGAAGATTTTGAGTAAAAACCATGAAATTATGTACATCCTCATTAGTATCACTTTCTTTTTTCCCTTACCATTACTTTTGTTTTTAGAATGTCAGTGTCAGAAAAGCGATCTGAGAGTGGAGTGAGCTCTCAATTAACTATTGCACACACTGAGCGTCACGACTCTGGAGTGTTTCGGTGTAGAGCTGAAAACGCCTACGGAAGAGACGAGCTGCTGATATACCTCGCGGTGCAAGGTGAGCTTCGCCTAACACTCGTACCATATCCAATCACAGTCTCACCAGTAGAGCTGCTTCTAATTTCACTGCATTTTGTGACGTATCAATTTATAAATGTGGATAGAGCATTATATGAATAGAACTAAATAGTGGTTTATTTCGTGAGTATATTCTCACCCGCTTAATAGAGCAGTGGTTATATTGAAACCACAACCTCGTCATTATAAGTGGCTATAAATCCATGAAGCTATGAATATTTTAGCAATCGTAGATGTGATTTAATATAAGAAAAAACATGTATTTTTACACAAAAAAGAACAGGTTTGTAAGTTTTTTCCTTCCAGATTGCTTTATCTGGTTTTAGGATTTAAATGTATTTCTGTAAATTGAATCACCAAATTGAATTGAAAAAAAATAATCACAAAAAATGAAATAACAGATAACAAGGTTCAATATACGTCAGGTAAAATTAAAAAAAAATTAAAACACCATAGTTAACATGAGTCGCTGAACTGTAGCCTAAAGCGTCGCAATATCGGCGACATCAAATCGACGCCGCCGCCGCGACGAGCCGGCGAACTATACATTCTTATTACCTACCTATAATACTACTAAGCACTTAATTTTAAAACTACGATATCATTCACGTGTTTATTTCGGGAATACTCGACTAGCTTCGGAACTGGCAGCACGTGTTACTTCTTGAAAAAGTAGGTACTTTGGTTGTCTCGTAACCTTTGTACCGCCCTTCCAAAAATTCGGCAATCTGGAGGACATACATGATTGATTCCACACCTCGGTTTGGCCAAGATGCGTTTCCATAAAGCTCTCGGTAAATAAATATCATGTCAGGATATTCCGCAGAATTATGGATGAAGATACCCATAACCCACTAAAATTAACAGACTGAAAATACACTCAGTTTCACACACACTACACACCACTACACACACAAACTAATATTCTCACTTTTCAAAATAAAATTAGCGGGACTCATCACAACACGAAGTCTTGCGCACACGATAATATCAATTGTTCACACCATTGCCGTGTGTTATGACGTAAACAATAAGACTAATCAATAATTAACACCACTAAACTTTTCTAAATAAATATCTCACGAACAACAACAATATTATTATTACGATAATTTGTCGTGAGCGCATGTACAAGGACAGAGAACAGCATAACACTCAGCGATTCGCGGTGGCTAAGGACCGACTGCCTGTACTTACTGGATAAACTGGATTTCATCCTGATGATGCAATAATCAACATATTTCGTTGGATTCAAGTGTAATAAAAGCGGCAACGGGTGATGTTAACGCGCCGATTGAGGCCAATATGTTATGACTGCAGTACCTACTTACACCTGCTTGAACTTTTCTTCGACATTTTGTTTTGTATTTGACAGAATTTCCGGAAGCCCCTGTTGGTCTCCACATATCTCATCGGTCAGGTCGTGGGGCGACAATTTCGTGGCGGAAAGGATATGATGGCAACGCTAGAGTGTTGCTTTATAGGCTGCAGTATCGCGTGGTAGGAGATGCGAGGAGACCAGATGCTGGGGATTGGGCAGACGCACCAACTAGAGATGTACCGGCTGACAGAGTTAATGAAAGGTAATTGAATAAATGAACTGACGAACAATTGAAAATAATACAAAAACAATTTAAAGTACTTCAAAAATCGAATACTTTAATAAGCGGCGGTAGCCTAGTCGTTGACTTGCGATCAAGAGGTCGTGGGTTCAAATCCTGACCAGTACACTACCGACGTGAACCCACTCCTAATACAAGCAATTTAGTTTAGCGGGAGGGGTTAACGGGAATACTAGTAATTTCGGTTGCTAGTAGACCTATTAAAAAAACCTTATAGTACATTAATTGAATTCATATTGTTACAAGTCAGGATTCGAACATAGATTAATATCCCATCCACCCACCCAATGATTATCAACAATTTGTCTTTACTATTCGCTTTTCCTACTTATTTACTCGCTGTAATGCAGTATTAAAATTTAATCACCGAATAGCAGCTCTCCTTATATTTCGGGTGTAATTCGTAAGAAACTCCATAACATGCCTGAGTTTTCCTGAAAAATCTCGTCATAACTCCACGGCTTCGACTTTGTGGAAACTATAAAAATGGCGACTAAATTTGAAATGAGTAAAGTTTTTAGTTGAAACTTCGATTAGATTCTCTAAGTGACGACAAACGAATGACCTCAGGACGCCAGCTTCTCTATGTTTTTTTACATACTAACAATTAGCTATTTGTTACTATATTGTTGCGCCATATGATTAAATGGTTCGATTGTACGGAATGTAAAGGACAGCGCCATCTAGTATCGACTCAAGTACATCTATTAATAGTAGTTAGTAGTTAGAGTAGTTTTGATCCTTATAGCGCTAGATGGCGTTTTCTGACTGATTCTGGAATATTCTTGTTGCCTGGAACGAACTATCGATATTTCTAGTAAAATTCAAAAGCGCTATAAAAGCTTAGCATTTTGTGTACTATACAATTGCATGCTACATATTAGACAAAAATGGGTGTCACAACCAAAAATTTTCTCATAGACAGGAACAGAATTCTGGCAGTGACCCTTTTCTGGAGTATCGGGTGGAAGGCTTGCGACCTGCCACAGCCTATGCCTTGAGACTCGCAGCTGTCAACAGTATAGGAGACAGTGACTATTCTGATCCTGTCATTGTTCAAACTTTAGAAGAAGGTGAGGGATTTGATTTAATCTATTTCTTAACCTCAATATAATTAATCTATTAGGAGATCTTATGTTTAAATGACACAACTTTAATTGCAAGCAATATACATAAATGCATAAATATATATATTTATTCTAGAAGATGACTAGAATTTTTTGGTATTTTTTTATGTTAGTGGGGACAGACAGCAGACGGATCATCTGATGGAAAGTGACCATTGCCGCCCATGAACGTCTGCAATTCAGGAGTCACAAACGCGTTGCCGGCCTTTTAGAAAGGAGTACGCTCTTTTCTTGAAGGTTTGAATGCCGTTTCCACAGATTGGTTGTTTATTAAGTTATATAAATAGAGCTCGGTTCCACCATACGGTCGTATGGTACTATTACGTAAAAAAATTCGAAAGCTTTCTTTGAGTTCTATGGATTATCTGCTTCGGAGATGTTGTTAGTTTCAGAAGCTTGTAAACAAATGTTAGTCGTTAAAATTTAAGTGAACGTTACAAACGGATAATAGTTTTTATTTAAATCTCAACTCTGTTTACATTTGCAGCGCCCTCGGAGCCTCCTCATAACGTACAAGTTCAAGCAACTGCGCCCGGAGAACTTCTCGTCAAATGGCAGGTAAAACTTAACACCAATGAACTTTCTTAAGTTCAAACAGATCGTGAAACTTAAACTTATCTTGAGCAGATTTTTACTTTTGTGATTAATTTATAAAGTAATTTGACTAAAACCGATATAAGGGGCAGTCATATAACAGTTAGAGTAAATGTGTAGCTAATATATAAATTACGTCATCTTTTGAAATAGTTTCTTTCTTTCTTTTTAAGAAGACAACTCCCGCATTGGGAATATATTCCTATGTCGCGGGGGACTTTACAAACACACAAAGTGTTGTCCCATGTGGGGAACGGACCCACAACACTCAGCGTAGTAATGTCTTGGCGACCGCGAACCACTACGCCATCCGTGCAGTCAAAATCTAAAAATTTCAACTTAAAATTCTGATGGCAATACAATTTCGATGGCAATACAATTAAAATAAGAAAGTTGTAGTTAAACTCGAAAAGATGGTTAAATAATACAACTCGTTTTGAAAATTGGCATTAGCAATAGCCATTTAAAAAAGTAAAAAGTACCTTTTTCTTAAATCAAAGTTACTTTTTTTTCATTTGCATAATCTACCCTGACAGGTAAGAATTTACCTGTGGCGCATTGTGGTTGCATTGATAAACAATTCTTGAAGCAGTTTGTATCTCGTGTCAAAACTTAAGTTCAAGCAGAACAAAAGTTTTTGCAACGCACACAAACCAACTTCAGAATTTTATACAAAGATTTACATGATTTTCTAAAAAAAAGAATAGTATTGTTTATATTACACATGGGAATACTTATGTAATAAATATTAAAAAATTTGAAAAAAAAAAAAAACATTGAGCCATACAACAAATTTAGTGTGTACGGAAAAATTATCTCACCACCAGGCCCCGCCACAAGAGTCGTGGAACGGTGAGCTCCTGGGCTACGTGATATCGTGGCACGAGACATCTGCGGGTGACAATCGCACTTCGACGCTGTCGGCGCCGGGCTGGGGCGCGGCGCACGCGGTCCTCGTGGCGCTGCGCACCAACACGCAGTACTCAGTGCGGGTGAACGCATTCAATGCAGTAGGCGCCGGCCCTGGGGCTACGCTCACTGCTACTACTTTGGAAGGGGGTTAGATTATATTTTACATTATCTATAGCTTATCCTCGTTCGATAATAATATTAAGATTATAATTTTCTTATTTTATATATAAGTTATTAAAAAAAAAAAAAAGTTATTCAAAAAGCATTATCAACAAATAAATTGCCCAGTTATTACATGTAATTTGATACTTGAATAATATATTTTCATCGTAGCAAAGTAATCGTATCGGGAAAGTTCAATTCTATAATTTAATACCGAGTATTAGTACTTAAGTTGTGTGGTGTAAGTACTTGTCTCAGGTCAGTTGTTAATAATTTAGCGGTATTCAACCTACTCAGATATTAACTCCTACTTATTAGATCTATATTTTACGTGAGAATTTATTTATTTATTAATACATTTACAATAAAACAATTTACAAAAACTTGGAATTAACAGCGGTTTCCGCACTAAGCTCGTAGCTTGTATCGCGGCAACCAAGTGATTACACATTGCTCATTGTCGTTAGTTACATGTAGTAGTTACATGGGTTTTATAGCTTAGTTGGTTAAATAGAAATTCAAAAATAAACTTATAACAGGTTTTTAACATTACAATAATATAAACACTTAGAATTAAATTAAGACCAATATAAGAGTGTGGCCAAACTATATGTGATGAGTTGGTGACTGTGATCATGCGTGTGTGTGTGTTTGTGCGTGTGTTCGTGTGTGTGTGTGTGTGTGTGTGTACTAATGTGTTTTATCATTCTAATATATAAAATTGTGTTTGTTACCAAACTCCTCCGAAACGGCTATACCGATTTTTATGAAATTTTGTGTGCATATCAGGTAGGTCTGAGAATCGGCCAACATCTATTTTTCGTACCCTTAAATGATAAGAAGACCGACCTTAAATATATTTTGAATTTTTTTGTCAATTTCCTAGAAATAATGTATATGGCAAAACAACGTTTGCCGGGTTAGCTAGTTTTTTTTTATAAAAGCTTTCTAGGTATATATATAAAAGACACAGAGCAGGTTTCGTCTAGACAAATAAATCGAGCATTATATAATAGTTTTACTCTAAGAAAGCCACGGGTGAAATCTTGCGTTGAAAATATTAGGTACATAGAAACAAGTCTTAATAAAAAAATCTCAATTATTATAAGACGTGTGCCTCTTACTTTATCTCCTTATAGTTCTCAATATAATTATTAAATTTATTAAATAAATTATTATATCTTAGCTCCCGAAGCGTCTCCAGAACGTGTACGCTGCGAGTCACTATCGGCTCAATCTATAAGAGTGTGGTGGGAGCCGCCACCGGTAGCTCTGCGTGGTGGAATACTACTGGGTTATGAAGTACTCTATGAGGTAATCACATTACACATTTTATTATTTTACTACTATAAATAAAAACAAGAGCTAAATAAAATCCAGCAACATCAAACACGAGATTTGTTCATTAGCTATGATTCTCTGCACATTTGAACTTTTTCTAGCTAAGAAAATTATAAAATTACAAATATTAGAGATATAAGATATCAAAGACCTCATTTTTTCGAAACATTTATATACGAGTATATCTCACACATCTCACACCACTTTGTAACAATCTTTATCCTAAATCTGAAAAATTATTATATTTTGATCTTTACAAAAGCTCTGAGGTATTTTATTATTTAGTACAAGTATATTCAAATGTCACTGTTTTTTAAATAATTTCTAGACATCTCATTGGGAGTGCGAATTAAATGAGTTTATACTCGTAGAAATAGGACGAGTTTCAGAAAAATATCTCTCGGCCCAGCTATTGACAATACCTATATATCAATCAACGATAAATAGAATATATTTACAATGATCATTTGTACAGACTGCAGATGCATTAGAAAGTCAAGTTGAAACGCGTCGCTCAGGAGCAACGGAGACCATACTTCAAGCGCTACAGCGTGCAGCCAACTACAGCATAGCAGTACGAGCTAGAACTGGTGCAGGTATTGGACCTGCCAGCGAGCCTGTGTATTGTATCACACACGAAGACGGTAAGCTATCTTCGAGTACAACAGTGTAATATAACTAAGACTATTATGTTTAAGTCACTGTTTAAGTAAACTGTTGTATTAGAACAAGGTCCCCATCAACAATGAGTGAGGTTAAAACTCGCAGACATTTGATGCCAAAACCAAATAGAATAACCAAATCTTAAGCTACATATCTACTAAAGCTTTTTGCCTGTGGCAGTGCCGGGAGCTCCCATGGATATAAAAGCAGTACCGAACTCCGAGGACACAGTGATAGTCAGCTGGCTGGCGCCGCTACAGAAAAACGGAAAGATCAAACATTACACTGTTTACAATAGACCGCAGAGGTTAGTTCGTTTCTATTAAAATTTAAGTAAGCGTTTCACAGCAGCATACCAAATGTTCTTAGTGAAACTTGTAGAAAAGACAAATAACTTCGACTTTAATGTTTGAAAATTGGTAACAATCTGTATCCTTCATACCTTAATGTTCCGCTCAATCTTAGAGGTGAAATATTTCATCCAATATATTTCATCCAATAATTTTTTTGTTATCAGTTTGCAAATGGTGAAATTATAGCAAAACATGCACACAACAAAACGTATTCAGCCAAATATAGAAACACTGATAAACCCCCGCAGTTAAACGAAGTTAGCTTTTTAAACAGGACCGGACAACACTCTCAAATAATGGTGCTGCATACCGATGACGAAGAAGAATATCAAGTTGAAGTCCGTGGCCTCCAGGAGCATCAGACGTATGAGTTCTGGGTGACAGCCGCCACAGCGTCCGGTGAAGGAGAAATGAGTGCTATCGTCGCAAAGAAACCGAACAGTAGAGGTAACTAAACTACTTAATAGTTTAAATGCGTAGTACCTACAAACGGTACTGCATTCCACCAAAGAAAATGATAAAAGATAACCCAATCTCTACCTCTTATTACTATAATACATACATATATCTTATTATATTTATTTTGTTGCCTTCATAGTCTCTCTAATTCGAACGCGTTTTCCACATCTGTCTCCCACTTCCGTAATCCGTTAACCTAACTCTCAGTCTACCAGCAAAAAAATATTTGTCTAACAATAGTTGGCGCTTAACTATTGTGCGCTTTTCGAGACACTTTTTGCCTCGCTCTACCAATCTGTGGTACGGATTATCGTCTGGGGTATTTGTGGACCGATACGACCTTCAAAGGAGCGTACTCGTTTCTATAAGGCCGGCAACGCGTTTGTGACTCCTGAGTCACAAACATGGGAGGGGATGGCCACTTTTCATCAGGTGACCTGTCTGCTTGTCTGCCCCATCTAACATAAAAAGAAAACAAAACATGCATATTAATTTGCACGACCCTAAATACAATGGGTGAAGATTTTTCGAGATACGAGCATAGTTACAGTTAGAAATTAGAAGTATATTATTAGTTAAAATCTTTATATATATAATTCTTCTGTGAGTGTGTATGTCACTGAACTTCTCTCAAACGACTGGACCGATTTTGATGAAATTTTTTGTGTGTGTTCAAGGGGATCTGGGAATGGTTTAGATTCACAATTTTGTCCGCTGGACAATGTTTTTTTAATTAATTTTTAATTTATTAGTAGTTGTTGATTTTGGAATGTTTTACATTGGATCAGACAGACGGCGCTACCATCGCAGTGTCAAATTTGACAGGACAACGTCTGTCGGGTCCGCTAGTATCCTATAAGTTAAATAATACTGATACTGTAAAATTTCTCAACATACACAGCCCCAGCCAAAATAACGTCGTTTGGCCGTCGTCTCGAAGCCCGTGCAGGAGGGCGAGCGCGCGTGCGGTGCGCGGCGGCGGGCGCGCCCCCCCCTCAGCGCTCGTGGTCGCGGCGCCGCCCCGCGCCCCCCCTGCAGCACGACCACAACTATCTCATCGATGGCTCCTTTCTTATTATACTGAGTGAGTATCTGGAACCACACAATAACCACAGGACGCAACCTTATACTTAAAAATAAAAAGTTTATTTTTTGTATTTATAATAACGAATTGCACAGTATAATATGGTTGATATTGGCTGCTACAGTTTCGTAACTGTGTTGCAGCTATTAACACCCACCTCAGGAAGAAAAATGACAGGTTTCAAGTTTCATCATGCTTGCTGAGTGTAAATCAAATCACAAATTTAAATAATAATAACAATGTTATAAGATTGTTGTGATCGGTTTACATACGAATGTTTGTGTTTGTGTATGTGTGTGTTCATGTGTGTGGTATTTAAAGGTGCGTATGTACGTGTGCGTGCGTGTGTGTGTGTCTTTGGGCTTGTGTTTAAACCATTGAACAATTTATGATTTATCAATTTGCTCATTCAGTTCGCGTTAGGAGAAAATTTATGACAAGTAACCACAAATGCGTTATGTTTTGTACAACGATGTCAATTGACATTGTATGTAAATTAACAATTAGCGTTAGGGGATTCTCAAGCCCGGCGTGGGTTGAGCAGAGGCGAGACCTCGTGGCGGCCATCGGAGTGGGAGTTCTCTCGCTCGATAGCCTGATTGCGGCTATCGTGCGGAGCGAGAGTGCGTGAAACTCTGCCGTCTCCTTCTGCGAGCAAGTTATGCTCGCCAAGAAGACGGCGGAGCGGGATCTGGAGAGGTTTAGGACTCTCCCGGCCCGCCAGGCCCGGGAACGGGCCAGGTACCGCAGGCGACTCAGGCGCCGGAGGTCGCAGAACGACCTCCGTCCTCCATAAGCGCAGGCCTGGGGGTGACAGGTGAGGCCATCTGTCACCCTAGCAGAAGCAGTCCGGGGTGGCGACGAGCGCGTTGCGAAGCGCGCTCGCTTCCAGGGAGCACAGGGAACATGGGGTTCCCACACGGGGGGGGGGGGTCGTCTACTCGTCTGTAGATGACCCGAGGTATGTCGGGGCACCAGGGACTTCCTTTCTAGGGTATACCTGGTTCCCCGGCTATTAGTACCCGAGACGGTTTTAGTCGATTCGAGTCCGACATGCCACCGACAGGTGGTATCCGAGGGGATCTCCGCACGGGAAAAAAAAAAAAAAAAAAAAAAAAAAAAAGCGGATTCTCAAGAAGTACTAAACGACGCTAGATTTTTTATTTTACTGCAAAGTGTAAGTGCAAATATATGGCATAACTTTTAACTGTCGCTGACTTTTCAAGAGCTGTCTATCACATTATCCCGATTCAACATAGGTTACACAGCACGGATGGCGTAGTGGTTTAAGCGGTTGCCACGCCGCTTCCTACTACGTCGAGTGTTGTGGGTTCAAACCCCACATGGAACGACACTTTTTGTGATCCACAAATTGTTGTTCTGAGTCTGGGTGTTCTTTGTGTCCGTTTCATGTATGTTTGTAAAGTCCCCCGCGACACAGGATATATTCCTAATGCGGGAGTTGTCTTAAAAAAATATAATTACCAAGTACTTTTAAAAAGTATCCTAAAAATATAAAACAGTTGAACAATTGAACAACGATATTGCCTACTTTTTTCAGATGTTGATCGCAACTCAGCTGACAACTACACATGCACCGTTCGAAACCCTTGGGGTGAAGAGCGTAGTACCTGGGAGCTGAGAGTATTGGCAGTCCCTGGCCGTCCCGTACTCAGGCTAAGTGCCTCCGCACCTGGCAGATTACACCTTGTATGGGAGAAGCCCAGTACTGGCGGTTCTACTATTCATGGTGAGTTTGCATACTAACCCGTATACAATTATTTAGTCGCAATCACTAACTCAAATTTTAACCAGTTTTTTATTTTTAATTATTATTCTATTTTCATCAGATACAAAAAAAGGGTCTATTTCCGATTTTTCAATTAAAATCACCTTTCATACATATCTCATTGGCTACATAACCCGTAACAGGGTAACAAAAAAACATTTCTTGTATTTATTTTATTAATTGAGGTTAGGATCTCTTACGAAACGCCTTCTTTCGCCAAGAGTTTTACAATTTTCGTTGTGTTTGGTCGACATCTTTTTCTTCTTACCGTGGGAGAGCCATGTTTCGGCACGAATGGGCCGGCTCGACCGGAGAGATACCACGGCCTGAGATTTCGTGTCCCTACCGCTGACTCGAGCAGGGGGGATTCCAAAAGTCCATGGGCGAACGTAGTTGCTTACTATCAGGTGACCCCACTGCTCGTTTGCCCCTTACACCATAAAAAAAAACTTAATTCTCAGACATTTTATGGTTGGCCATGATATGCTTCTAAAAATTTGCTTCCTTTAAAAGAACACAAGTACTTAGATGTGTTTTGCTGTAAGTAATAATTTACAGCAAGATTATAAAATTATCTAATATTAAATTATTTATAAAATTCCTTTTTAGGCTACATTGTTGAGCATTCACGTTCAGATGATGCAAAATGGTTATCGAACCGGTTGCCCGCCGACTCCCGCTCATATACTTTAGAGCGATTATCTTGTGGCACTTTGTACAAAGTGAGACTGACTGCGTACAATACCGTGGGACCATCCGCACCTAGCGATGAACTCGTGGTATCTACTAAGGGAGGACGTAAGTGAACATTTGGGCTTAATCACTTTGCCACTTTCTAAATTTTTTCATTGCCACTGTTTTTTGTACATTTCGCTGCTTTCATAAATCACAATCAACATCAGTAACATCAAATATTTACTTTGTCAATCAACAGAGCTCTGGTTGCCTGCAGGGTGATCTAATTCATATTTGTATGCTTTATTCTCTTTATTTGTCGTTTAAAACTAAACTATGTGCAAAAAGTAATTATTAAGCTTATCAGAATGTTAAACGTACATTTATTTTCATCTTTTATCCCGGTACATGTGTCTGTCTACTTCAGACTGAAGTATATTATGCTTCCACATTTTGCTGACTCTAATTTCAGTCCCACTTACTTAATAGAGTACGAGCCTTCAACCGAACACATATTATATTTCTAAATAAACGTACATATTTTAAGTAAATTTCACTCAGGTACAGAACAAATGCTTGTATTCATCACACAATAATAATCCTGGGTTATAATCGAACCCACAAGCTCTGGCTTACCAGTTCGTATCGCTAATTACTAGAACAACAGAGACCATTAATATTCCAGACACAAGAAAACTGGCTCACAAGCAAAATATAATTTATTAAAAAAAAGCAAAACTTCAAACAACTATGAAAATACAACGTAAAACTTGTTTTTCAGCATCAAAAGCTTCACCAGAAAAAGACCTCATTAGTACAAACAGCTCTTGTATACGACTCAACCTATTGACATGGGACAGCAACGGATGCCCATTATCTCAGTTTACGGTATCAGTGAGAGGCTTTGAGGAGTCATCTTGGACCTCCCAAACGGTGTCTCCAGCTGCACAGCCTACAGTACTCTGTGGGTTAACTGCAGCAACATGGTACCATCTGAAGGTTATAGCGACAAGCGCGGCTGGAACTACTTTGGGGACTTATTATTTTTCAACCTTAACTGAGAGTGGCGGTAAGAAAACAATTAATAGGTCCTAATTCCATGTCATTCTGAATTATAAACCTTGACCTGGCCTTGATGTTTTGAATATTTCAGAGAAAATAGCAGCTCCAGCTCACTTCCCCCCTGGTGGGGAAGAAGGTGAAGAAAGAGCTACGGCAGTTTTAGTAGCAGGAGCCTGTGGTTTACTTGCTGCATTGCTGCTTTTAGCTGCATTAGCTTATAAGCGAAGGTCACTATACTAATTTATTTGTCAAGAAGTTAAAGTTTTTATGCAAACAAATACTTAGTTTTATCTCGTAACTTTAACGTAACTAAAAACGTTGCTTTTTTGCAGTATTGCAACCGCGTGCTTTAGGAAAGGTTACGAACAAGGTGATATATCCGAGGAAGAAGATAAATCAGTGGAGAAAAGAGACAACAGACGTAATTGTCAGCAGGTGTACACTTCGTCACCTATCAAGCACCCTGTCAGCAAAAAGGATCAACAGGGTAAATAACACTGTATAATTATTTAAAGCTTTAAAGCCCGATGAAGAGACCGTTCTTCATTCATTATATCCAATAATGTTTTGTTTCTCAGAGATGTACGAGATCAGTCCGTACGCGACGTTCAGCATGTCAGGCGGCGCGGTGGGGGCGGTGGGGGCGGAGGAGGCGGGCGGCGCCACGCTGCGCACGTTCGGGCGCGCCGAGCCGCCGCCGCTGCTGCAGGCCGCGCCGCCGCGCGCGCACCGACACGCGCACGACGCTCTCGGTAACTTTCTTCTTCTTCTTCTGAAAAAAAGACATCTCCTGCTTTACTAATATATCCTGTGTCGTGGGCGACTTTATAGTGGCGCTACTGCGCATACGCTACTACTGTAGCGTATGCGACTGCTGTGCTACGATCCCCTGTCATACCGAATGTTTGTATGATCTGCAAATAATTGTTTCGAAGTTCAGGTGTTTTCTATATATATAATATGTGTGTATTCACAAAGAAAAAAGTATATAAGTATTTTATCAGTCAATCTAGCTTTCATAGTACAAGCTGTGCTTAGTTTGAAACTACTCGTAAATGGCATTGTGTCAGATGTCCGAAATATTATTATTATTATTATACATGACACGGACACAAAGAAAACCCAGACTTAGAACAACAATTTGTGAATCACACATAGTATTGTCCCATGTGGGGATCGAACCCACAAACATTCAGTGCAGTAGGAAACGATGACGTAAACACTTAGGTAAACCACTTCGCCCTGCATTCAGATGTAACTGATAAATAATGCGCAAAGCAGTGATTAATCATTGGACCTGTAATGAGTACTGTATGTAATTCAACATCCGTAATTTGTCTTTCAACTTATTCATCGCGTAAAAAAATGTTGAATGCCTATTGTAAGGTCTTTAAAAATCGAAGCAGAAATGAAGCCTGCGTCACACTTGTGTCATAGTTGCAGCTGTCGATCCGGCAATAATCCCTTACTATCAGGTGATTCGTCTGCTCGTTTGCCATACACCATAAAAAAAGTCTGTTAGGGTATGTCAGCATTAAAATCTGAAGGATTGGTCTTCCGAGTTTAGAAGGACCAAATGTAGAGTCTAATCAATAAGTACCTGTCAAGAAACTGCATTGCTAGTACCGAGATAACTAAAAGAGTAAACTATACAATTATTTTGCTTTTAAGGGATGCTTCCGTAAAATTAGTAGTTTTATAATAGATAAACATCTATTGTTATAGACGAATACACGCTCTCCCGTGCTATGACGTTGATGGTGCGTCGTTCGGAGTCAGATTCTGACTCAAGCGGTTCACCATGTGCAGAGTGCAACTCGAGCGTCTCTTATAGGATGCCTGTTACTCCTGGAAAAGGTAGCTATATCGTGACTTAAAATAGACTTGTACATTAATAATTAGCCTTATTGCTTTAACTTTACCTTTAATATATTTTTATTCATGTAAAATATATTGACTAATTTAAATAAACTTTGCTAGTACATAATTTTTTATACATTGACACCTTTATCGATGTAACGACAAAGCTTTAGTATAGGCTTAGATCTTATTACTCAATTATTTTGCATTGCAAGTTTGAGTTGAGTTTTACATATATCAATTTATTATTCAATCCAAATTATACATGAGTTATTTTTAGAACAGCAATTCTGCATTTCGATTTTATTTTAGTTCAAGATGACGTGTTCCGTGCGGTGACAGACAGCAGCGCGGAATCGGCAGCGGACGCACGATCGCTCCGCGGCGTCAGCGCAGGAGCGGAGCGCGGCGGGGCGGGCGCGGAGCGGGGGGCGGCGAGGGGCGCGGGGGCGGCGCGACGCCGGACAAGGCGACATCACGCGCCTTCCGCGTCGAGGTAAACCTCATCATAGGTAAATGAGGGCAGGATTGTTAGTATTACTATGGTTTCACGTCACTTTACTATTCTAATATTCTTCAAAACAAACTGAAATTACCAGGAAAGAACAAGCTAATAAGTAGGTCCTTCCTGGTTTTTGTTCACAAATAGGGGACACAGTTTTAGTAAATCTTTAATTGGATCGGATCGGATCTCCGACTTGTAAAAATATATGAAAAGATTTACTTACAGAAATAAATACCATTTCATTTTATTCCATTACATTTCGATAAATATTATTTGACTAACATTTGGTAATTAATTGAATCTTTGGAATGAATAAAAGAATATGTGTGTTACCTCTACTTGAATGTAGATCTGCTCTATCGACTTCTCATCAATTGCATTCGGGGCATATTCAACCTGCGAAAGTACGATCATGTATCTGCTCATCCTCCGTATCCGCTTATCGCAGACCATTGTCGTGGTTACCTATAAGATAGCGACGCAATTTGCGAGCCTTCGCTATGCTAATAATCTCCTCCTTCTTTGTCCTTCATATAACTCCCGTATCGTTCATTCTTCCTTCACTGTCCAAGTGGTAACGCCCTCCCCTTAGAGATCAGGAAGTCCACCAGTCGAACAGCTTTTAAGATTAGAGTACGCAAGCTCTATGGATACTTGTTGACGGAGTCATCAGAATAACCACTCTTGTCTTCATCATTGGAGGCATATACGTATGTATGTATGTATGTTTTTTATATTTATAGTATTATATCATCATCAACAGCCTATAATAGTCCACTGCTGGACATAGGTCTCTCCTTAGAAAGGAGGTTTTGGCCTACTATACCACGCTGGCCAGACGGGTTGGTATAGGGTTTGTGTCAAGTTTTCCTTCTCTTTGCAGTCCTGTTGTCCTGCGTAGTCTGCTCCCTTAGTCGGCTCTTACGACACCCACGGGATGAATAGGGGTGGTGACATTCCGTATTCTTAATCCGTCACCACACGGATAATAGTTATATAGTACGTATAAATTATATTTACACATATATCTATGTATGTAATTATATTAACACACATATCTATGTAGTATAACATCTTACTACGAAAAATCTCATCTACCACACCCATCTCTGCATCACCCAAAAGTTGACTGGAAGAAAATGCCTTTGGTATTAAGTGCGCCTTATACAACGTATTTGCAGGCAGTATAAATAAATAAATAAATTATGCATATGCGTACTAACTTCCCGGTAGGTTCTGTAAATGAATAAAAGGAATAAGTTTTCTATATTTAAAATTGAGACCATTCTCATCCGAATGTTTCACTGGAGAAGATTTATATAAATCAGCCGTAACTTTTTGACTCTCAATGTCCATTATAATATGTATGTAAAATACTTACAAATCGTTTTACTTTACAATATTTTCAGACATCTGACACACAACCTCGTCTTGTTTCAAACTAAGTAGTCTTTGTACTATGAAAGTTAAGATTGACTGATAGAATACTTATTTACTTTTTTTTTTAAATACATACATATTATACACAGAAAACCCACCTAAATGCGGAAACAAATGTTTCATACAAACATTTTTTTCCGTCCCAGGACTCGAACAGGAGACCTCAGCACAGCAATTCTAGCTATTATTTATTGTATAAGAAATTTAATATCTCGAAAACTACTTGGATACTCGATGTAATATGTCATTTTTAGTTGAAACTAGCTTAGACCCGCGGTGTTACCCGCGTTTGTTGTTATAACCGCGGGCAACGCCGCGGGGCGAAGCTAGTCTAAAAAAAGTAGCCCAAGTTACTCCTTATGTCATCAGCTATCTGCCAGTGAAAGTCCCGTCGAAATCGGTCGAGCCGTTCCAGAGATTACCCTGAACAAACAGACAGACAGACAGACAAAAATTGTAAAAAATGTTGTTTTGGCATATGTACCGTGTAAACATACATATGCATTTAGTAAAAAGCGGTTATTTTAATATTACAAACAGATACTCCAATTTTATTTATTTGTATAGATGAGATACGATGCATTATATTTAGTGAGATCACATTTGACCAAATGTAGTCTTGTACTAGGTGGTAGTACCTATTATGGATTGACTAAACCAATGATTATTTTTTCATTTCCGTACTATGGTATCTTCATTCATGATCAGATATGGCTTCAATTGAAAATAGAGAAATCATTTATTGCAATTTTTTTCGTTGCTTTCTATAACTTTCCTGTGGTCGACTACGTTTTATGTGGATTGGAGCTCCTTCCAAATTTGATTGGCCCAAATTCAAATCGAAATATGCAAAGTCCTACTTTCTTTAGTTATGCATACTTAAACAGATACTTCAGTCACTTCAGAAATGGCAGAACAATAATAAAGAGGTTAAGATTACATAACTAGTGACATCTATCGGCAATAATCAGTACTTTTCTTCAAAAAATGTAGAAACTAGATTTGAACTATAAAGACAAGTTGTGCACAATTTTCTGCTCCTAGACAAGTTGTCAGTAACCATCAAGAGAGGGCGTTGTTCTCAAATTCCTTATAGTTACATGTGGTAGAAGAATCTTCTTAAGAGTGGCATAACTTGTTACAGATACCAGCAGCGGCAGGAACAAGAGAGAAGAGATTTTACGATACATGTATAGATATGACGACAATAAAGACTGCTATAAGCGAATATTTATTACATTGTTATTTAGCTAAATTACCGTTTACGATAAGACATTTTAAAAAAACCAAATTGTACATATATTTCAAGATGTTTTGTACTGTGTTAAATTAAAAAAAGAATTGATGCGGCAAATTTGAAAAAACAAAATTTTTAAAATTAAACAAATCTGTTTTCGTTGTCAGTCTTATAGGTCATTTAATTATACACATCAATAATCAAGTTACAAATTCTTATCATATCGGACGAATTGTAAAAATTAGTAATTAGTTGTAAGACGTCAATAAATCTAAGTACAAGAAGATTGTTAGTTATATAAATAAAATGCAATTATTCTAAAAACAAAGAATTACTACAGACGGGGTTGGAATCGAGTATTTTAGCTCTCCATGTGTTTTTGGATTTCAAATTGTTTTAAATGCTCAAACACTGTCTTATGATTCACATGTATATTTGTATTTTACAATGTTATTACATATTTACCGTAAACATTTTGTATGATCATTTTAGTAAAGAAATTGAAATCTTACCGCGACCTTTTTCTATTGAACATTTTATGCTTTAAATAAGTTTTTTGTATAACTTATTTTTAAAATTATAATATTGTTAGTATTGCAATAATTATATGCAAAATGTCTTGTAACATGTAATTATAAAGTAATTAATCATAGCAATAACAGATTTACTCAATCTTGTGTTACAGTCACTGCCCGTGTGTTTGTCAAATGTAAATATTTGAAGAAAAACGAAAATAAAGTGTCGATTAATTCGTATTTATATGTGTTTTATTGATGATACATTTTTAATATCGTTTAGGGAGCAAAGAAGCAGTCGGTTCACCTGATGGTAAGTGATCAACGTCCCCCATGGACATCCGCAGTTCAAGAAACACAAGTGAGTTGCCACTCTTTTAGCCCTCCCACCAGAATCCTCTGACCTGAATCACTAAGTAAAAAGCAACAAAAGATCGGTCATCGGTATTCCGTTAGTGCGAGTCATCACCACACTATTAGACCCATTGTACCGTTGCATGTCCCCTGAGGCATATTATTATGACATTTAACTCAATTACGTAAAGTTATTACACACTTTTGAATTTAATGACGGACATAAATATATTATGTTTAGTCTCAAATATCACTTTTACTTTTACGGAACCCTTGACGACAAGGTTTTATTTGTTAAAACTTGAAATGAAAACATTTTTTATTCCCACTGTGGTAAATGTCAAAAAACAAAAAACAAACACGTAAGCTGTTTTTATGTAAAGTAGATATAAATCTTATATTGCTACACATAAGTTACACACACACACACACACACACACACACACAGTAACTACACACGTTGTAGACCACATTTATATTTATTTATTTATATTTATTTATTTATATTTTAAAAAGACAACTCCCGCATTAGGAATATATCCTGTGTCGCGGGCGACTTTACAAACTTACCTGAAACGGACACACAGAACACCCAGACTCAGAACAACAAATCGTTGATCACACAAAGTGTCGTTTCATGTGAGGTTTGAATCCACAACACTCGGCGTAGTAGGGAGGGATGTGGCGACCGCTTAAACCACTACGACATCCGTGCAGTCAAACATTAATTTCTATATACTTGTTTCCTAACAAGTCTAGCCATATTTTTCGTAAAACCTTCTTCTGGTATATCAGGCACTATTATCTGATCTCCGTTATAGCCCCTGTCATCAATAGTTTTCTTGGCATAGCCGTTTTATGTACCGAGTTGGAGACAAAGTGCCAACTCCGAGATGTTTCAATTCGAAGCCTGGCAAATGGCCACCATTACATTATTATCTACTGCTTTGGAACTGTGATTATAGGTCAGATAAAATGTATTTATTAGACTTAGACCAGAAGGTCAATTCTCGTAACAAAAGTTCTAACTTTCGATCTCACAAGTGTCATAAGAGGTATTTTCGTAGTAAAGTATCAAACATCCAACGTTGCCTATGATGTGGTTATATCGTATTGTTTATATGATTAATTACATTTTACTACTAAAATACCTTTTACGATAGTTGTGAGATCGAAAGTTGATCGGAACTGAAGGGAATTACGAGAATTGACCTTAAGATTATATTTTTGAGCCCGGCGGTCTACTGCACGATAGTTGATGTCTAGTATATAATTTGTATTGTGGCCAAATTAGAGTTGATAAATACAAGATGATTAATAATGAACATTAGCAGAGTATCTAATCGTCACGAGCACTTTTATAGCGCTATGCAGGATTTGTAGTTACTCCGTAATCCGGAGTACGCGTGTCTTTTTTTTATGACTTTGAATTTATGATAATAATATTCTACCACATTCACACAACGCCATCTAGTCCCAAACTAAGCAGAGCTTGTACTATGAGTATTAGACAACTGATATAAATACATTACAAAATATATTTATATCAGTTGAGTTAAAAAACTGATATAAATACAAATACATACTGATATACTACTATCAATCCTTGAATACCTTAAGATGTCCCCAGAGGCACTGGAATGGTTCTCCACCTATCTTCAGGGGCGCCAGCAGTGTGTTCGCGTTCAGAACGTGTCGTCGAGTTTTTGCGATCTCCACGCTGGAGTCCCTCAAGGCGGAATTTTATCTCCTCTTTTATTCTCTATCTTTATCAACCTCATAACTCAACACCTTCAGTGTGCGTATCACCTATATGCCGATGATCTGCAGATATACTCACAAGCAAGGGTGGAGGATATAACGCGAGCCATCGATGACGTCAACAGAGACCTTGATTTTATAAAATCCTGGTCGATCAGATTCGGATTGTCAGTAAACCCTACTAAATGCCAGGCGATCGTAGTCGGCAGCAAACATATGATTGGAAGATTGGATACTGCATCAGTCCCACCAGTCATCTTCAACAGCTCAGTTATACCTTGGAGCCCGGTAGTCAAAGACCTAGGCCTGCTCATCGACTCAACCCTAGATTGGCGTGCTCAAGTTACTCATGTGAGCCAAAAAGTAACGGGTAACCTGCGAACACTATACCGACTTAAAAACTTCTTACCCACTAAAACGAAAACCTCTCTCATGCAGTCCCTAATTGTTCCTATAATTGACTATGGTGATATGTGTTACTTCGACCTGAATGCAGACCTCCTCAATAAGCTAGATCGTCTTCTCAATAACTGCATTCGATACATATTCAATCTTCGCAAGTATGACCATGTGTCTGCTTTACGCTCCCAATTAAAATGGCTACCTATTCGCTTGCGTCGCAATCAGCGAGCGCTGACCTCTCTCTTTTCATTCCTCAACTGCCAATTTTCACCCACCTACCTCGATCCTTACATCCGTTTCTTGTCCTCTAATCACGACAGAAATCTTAGATCAACGAATAATTTGCTTCTCTTGTGTCCCCCCCACAACTCAGACTTCGTGAACTCCTCGTTCTTTGTACAAGTAGTTCTGCTCTGGAATGCGCTCCCACTCGAAATCAGGATGTCCACAAACCGTTTCGCATTTAAAAGGAATGTACATAATTACCTTCTTGAGGAGATGGCGGAAGTGACTTAACAAATGGTACACCTCCTATATTCAAGCATTCACAGTGTACAAACATAAATAATATGTATTTTTATCTATATTTATTTCTATATATATGTGTAATTATATTTGTATTACATTATAACTTATATGCATAATATTTGTAGATTTTGCTTAGTTTTAGATAAACAATTATTTACAATCATTGATACAATCGTAACCTCGGTGCACCTACCCTACAAGATTTCTACACCACCTAAAGGTTGGCTGGTAGAGAATGCCCAGGGCATTAAGTCCGCCGATGTACATAAGTGCATGAAGATGTAAAATAAATAAAATAAAAAAATAAATAAAATATATATATATTTTTGGAAATACATACATACTCGTATTATACATAGAAACACCCAGACTAAATCAAACATTAAATTTTCATGCACAGCAGGAATCGAACCTGAGTCGTCTTTAATTAAATATGTATTTCGTCCTATGTGGAAGTCGCCACAGAAAAGTAAATAAAATAAATACCTTTAAAATCAATAGAAATTTTAGTTTTTTATAGTAGAACTAGCTGGGTACTAGTAAAAATAGTTTTTTAGTCAGTAGTTAGTATAGTTTTTCTTTATCTCAATTTATCTTCTCCTTTAGTTTTGTTTGAAAATGATTAATATCCATGAGAGGGTTGGCATCAAGCAGGCCAGATATAAATATATCCAAATCCTTTTCAAGGCGCATTATGCTGAATCCAAACAAAATATCCCCAGTAAGGACAGGACAGGATGGTGATGATGATGAAATCGTAGAGACTATTAGTACTATACTTCAGAATAGTAAATATTCCTTTAGAACTCGAGCGTAAACGTTTTTCACACATACCTTTATAAATATTTTATTAAACACCTACTAAACAAATCAAAGGGAAAATTGGCAACGTTTTTTAGTGAAATTTTCTCGTACTTAAATTTCTTTTTTATAAAAGTTAAAGAAAATGACAGTGAAAAGATTTTAAGCACCTAATTCAATTTACCCCTACGTGCAATAACGCAAACAGCCAAATAGCTCATATTTGTAGAGGTATACAGGTAAAGTATGCATGCATGTATTTGTGCTCGACCCCAAACTCAGTTTTAAAATAAAAATAAAAGTTGAGCCCCATAACCGAATTTGACAACGGAACTCGGCTGACATCACAACCGCCACGCTGTAAAGCCAACATTTATTTTTGTATTTGTTTCGTGTTATATATCCTATAAATAGATTTTAGAATTTTTATTATGGCATAAGGTGGCTAAGCAGACGGGTCACCTGATGATAAGTGCACACCTCATCCATGGCCCCAGCGACTCAAGAGTCATAAGTGGATTGACGCTCTTCGAGTCCTCCCACAGAATCAGGGGAGGGGGACTTTTGGGTTCCGTTAACCTCACTCACTCGGTGAAAA